GAGAATACATGATTTAAGTTTTTTGTTGTACCGGTACACAGAAAACATAAATTTTGTATTCTTTCATCAATATTTGACTTCAAACACATTTATTTTGAAAATCCTTGCAGAAATGTGTCTGAAATGACATCCTCTTTCACATTATGATACAATTTGAGTGAAAATTTGCCATCAAATTTGTAGGGGTCCCAACAGTTTAGAGGGGCTTTAAGCAACTAACAAGCTTAATTTATGTTATGTGGATATAAGTGTTGATTGATAAGAGAATACATGATTTAAGTTTTTTGTTGTACCGGTACACAGAAAACATAAATTTTGTATTCTTTCATCAATATTTGACTTCAAACACATTTATTTTGAAAATCCTTGCAGAAATGTGTCTGAAATGACATCCTCTTTCACATTATGATACAATTTGAGTGAAAATTTGCCATCAAATTTGTAGGGGTCCCAACAGTTTAGAGGGGCTTTAAGCAACTAACAAGCTTAATTTATGTTATGTGGATATAAGTGTTACACTCCCCCCCCCCCCCCCCTGCCATATTCAAACAATGTAAACTACAATTGTGACCGTTTCAAACCAAAATTTCATACAATTCACGATACATACATGTAATCAATCTTCAGTACAGTGAAACATCAAAAAGTTAACCTGATGAGACCTCAAAAAAGTACATTAATCAAATTTGGCATGCCCTGGGGATGCTGCAAACTTGCAAAGCACCAGAAAAATAGCATCTAAGCACTAAACAACAACAAAACAAAACAAAAACAAACAAAAAAGGTGCAATGGAAAGTATAGGACTGAGCATTCACTCCTTCGTGAATTCAATATTCAATCACAAAAAACATTTGTACACTTTTCATACCATCTCTGCATATATATCTGCATACAATTTTTGTTCTTCTCCAAAAATGTATTTTCTTTTGTAAATGGGCCACTTCATTATGAAAAATACGTTTTGAGCAACCTGTTCTTGCAGACTAGTCAGGTCCCTTGAGAGGAGTGACTGTACCACACAAGAAGCAAGAGGGCTCACTTCATAAAGATTTTGTTATAAAGTTTGACCCTTCCCTACTAAATCTGAAGCAGACAGCTAAAACAGCCCTGCACCAATGAATGTTTTTGATCAACTGGTTTATTGTCATGAATTATAATGTGATTTAATTGATATATTTATAAATCTCAACTTGTTACCATCTACCTATGCTTTTTACGCTATTTCCTTAATATTTCTTCAGCAAGGGGAGAAAATAAAATTGAATTAATAAGAAGACTCTAACTTAACATTCTCTTCTTTTGTTTCTTCGGTTTCACAATCTTTACTTGGAAAATAAACAGGATACAGGTTTTAGTCTTACCTGAGCAGAAAGAAGATTATTGCTGAGGCAGCTGCAAACAACAGAACCTGAAATGATCAAATTAAGTCACATTTTAACAAACTATCATTATTATAAATTAACTTTGAATAGGCATAGAATGAACCAAAATTAAACACCCCATCATACACCAGGACTGAATCTTTCAATGAGTTTTGATTGATCCGGATTTATCATGCCTGAATTTGACACTGATATCAATTATGATTTTGTACAAGTAATATCTCTTTTTTAATTGGAAAGGAGATGTGTAAGCTTTGAAAGGAATTGGGCCATCATGTTGACAGAAAGATTTTTCTTCAATAGATTATTATTGAACTGAACTATCCCTCATTGATTCTAAAGAAGCATGGTACAATAGAATAGTATGATAAGAACTAAATGCTGATGTTGGCATGAATTTCACCCTACTGCTAAGACATGTGCAAAAGGGGACTAGGCGATCAAGGATAAATGCCTGACCAAAAAGCACGAGCCAAAAACTGTTTTTGGACTGACAACCTTCCATTTCAAAGATCACTGCTCTATCCACTGAGCTACATGTACATGTACCTTTCCTCTGAATGAGGGCAAGGCAGGGAGAGGGGGTGGAGATTTGTCATGATAAGAAGCCTTGTCAATGATAAGAAGCATGTGGTTTCAGGGACATTGTAGCCCTAGGGGTAAAAGGGGGGGGGGGGGGGTTATCAACTTCTCATTTCAGACAAATCAAGGACATTATAAGGATTTGGAGTGTTCCTTAAACCCTAGACCAAACACCCTGGAAGCATTTATATTCTCATATAAATATCCTTACATCAGTGATGCTTCATGTTACATATTTTGACCTCCATTCACACAAGAAAATTAAATAATCCTGTCTAGAATATAATCACCAGAGCCAAGGATAGAAATCCAATAATATTTGTTTTACACAGCTGGCAATTACCAACTCATCTCAGACTTGACAACCAACACTACAATATTTTATTAGAATTTTTATTTTCATTATGAAAATATAAAATAAAATTTCAAATAATTAAATGCTTTTTACAGTCTGAATCATGCCACTTCAGAGAAGTTCTCTTCTATCTTATCATTTCAGACCAAATTAAAACAATCTGACCAGATTGAGGAGCGCAGTCTTGCCCCTAGGGGTAGAGTGTCCCTGAGCCCACATGCTTCTTATCATACACAAGGCAACTAATCATAACACATGCCAATCAAAAATCAAAAAGAATTAATCCCTGATTGAAGATGACCCTTGATATCATCCCCTCTTGTCAAGATAGTGAACAGACCACTAGCAGTGTGCTGGTAGTCTGCAGACTCAGACTTTAATTCGACACTTAACCATAGTTCCTATAAACGCCTTGAGCCAAGCCTAACTCTGCCTGTCTCTGGCTTTGGCAATCATAGTTACCATGACAACCCTTCTCAGAGCTAAGCTCTTCCTTTATAAGTGAAAATTCTGCTTACAGTTACAGTTTACTTAATGTACAAACCCTCCTCCCCCCAAAAAAAAAATAAAAATAATAATAATAATAATAATAATAATAATAATAATAATTAATAAATAAATAAATGAATAATGATAATAATAATAAATCCCAACCAATTAGACATTGCACTTTGCTGTTTCAGCATGATAAGGTGAAGATTAAACAAACAAAAGATATCTGAATGGTAACCGAGAAATCCCTTACTATCAATCCCAAAATATGCTGATCAGAGCATGTTGGTCAAGGATATCTAGTTCAAACATATTAATTACTTCAACAACGAATCAGTGAAATACTCTAATGATTACATGTACATTTAATTAAACATGCTCCTGAACATAATACATGGCCTACATTGTACATAGCATAAAAATGCTAAAATATAAACCATTTTTTTAAACATCTGTTCTAAAAGTTGAACCTGAAATTAGATAATTAGGGAGCTCATGATAATATGAAAACATTCATTTATTCTATCATTTTGCTTGCAAGGAAATGTAGATAGCTCTTTCTCACCCCACCCCCAGTCAAAGAATCCTGGATATACTACTGGTAGTGATGGCTCAATCCTTCAAGCATATAGTGTCTAAGGTTCAAACCAAGGGCAGGGTGACATTGTCCTACAAGTAATGCTAAAGTAACTACTGGTAATCAATTGGATAGTGTTTAAAGAGAAGGTTGAGTTCTGGGAAGAGGTGAAAAACAATTTGAGACCGTTATCATTGTTATTATGCAAGTGTGGAAGGACACAAAATGTTCCCTGAAAAGCATGGCTCTTCAAATGCCTTAATATTCTAAATATGGCATTAAACAGCATAAAAATCAGGACAGATTTTTATGCCTGGAAATACGCCTTTGCTCATACAGTTGGAAGGATTTTTATTTTAACTGTTTATGCCACGTGTTTGTGTAGTCCCATATACATCTTTCTGTGTACAGTGCTTGTAACTTAACCAAGACTGGGCCAAATTTCTTATCATTTTGATGATTCTAGAACCTTGCAGTAGTAGTACACACCAATACTTATATGCTAGATGATCAACCTTTTCTGATCGATTCCACAACGCTTCTTCCACAATGCAATCGCATGACCGAACTCAACTTTATCTTTAAAGCCACAAATTCATTGGAGCAAGACTTAGAACTTACACACATAGCTGTACATTTATATTTGCTTTCTTAGCAACAGCACTTGCGTAGTAGTAGTACAAATAAAAATAACAAATTAATACAAATTAAATGTGATATACATTTTTTTAAAGATCATAAGGGAGGCTTACTTCTCCATTTTTGATTGGGCTGACAAATCCTCTCTGCTTACACATGTTAAAGAGTACTTCCATTGCCTGGGAGGAAAGAATAGAAAGAAAGGATAGTGAAAACATTTATAATAATAATAATAATAATAAGATATTTGTATACCGCAAATTGCAAATTGCCTCTAAGCGGTTTAGAAGAAAATAGCTGATAAGTAAAGGAAACAGAATTTGCATTACAAATTATATCAATTTAAATTACCATTAAAACTTTGCAAATGAAAATAATACATGTACATAATTACAAATCACTTACAACCAAAATACAAATAGTTCATAAATTAATAGTATCCTACGGTAATCTACACAAAATATATTAAAAGGCAAAAGGTCAAAAGAGCTATTCAGGAACAAGACTTAAAGAGATGTGTTTTTAGCATTGTTTTAAATGTATTTACAGAGCTAGCATTGCGAATTTGAAGGGGGAGATTGTTCCAAAGAAATGCAGCTGCATAAACAAAGAACATTGACCGTATTGTTTGTATGAAATAGTGTGAGACCGAGAGAGGAGATATTGAGAAGCAGATCGCAAAGTCCGGACAGGAGTGTATCGAGGAAGGAGTTCAGAAAGATATGAAGGAGCGAAACCAACATCATCATCATCATTATTTATGTTACTTTAGTTTCCTAACACCATGACATATTTTGATTAACAGAATACCACAAGAAAGGGAAAGAACCAAAGAGATAGAAACAAAGATACACACATAGATACTTAAAATATAAAAAAAACATAAAAGACACTAAACATAAGAGATCAAATAGATACTTACAAGATTTGTTGTGTACAGTGCTAGCATTCCTCTCCTGCAATATAATAAGAAATATATGAATAGAATAAATATAATCTCATTAACTAAATATACCATATTTGCATAGTACATTTTCTAATACATTGTACATACATGACTTGAAAATATTTCATTTCTTTTGCAAAAGAAATTAATGTGTAAATGCAAGGAAAACTGGCAACTATGATTACTTCAAAACAAATTGATACAGGGATACCTTGCAATAGGAAAATTAATTCGCCAAGAAAATGTACATTTGCAAATCTTTAACCAGGAGAGATATGGAGAAAAGGTACTATTGGTAGAAAGCTAAAAGGCAATAAGCTTGACCTCTTGACCTATTCGTCACAAAAGCGATCATATGTTTTCTATGGAGTAGCAATGAAGGGACATGCATGAATCCAATGGTAATGATAATACAGTGATAGACTGGAGATGCTCTCTGATGCTTTCATCATTATTAGTTTCATTATTATCATTTTCGCTTTGATTACCAACACTATTACTATCTTAATCATCACGATAGTGATTATCATCACCATCATCATCATCATCATCATCATCACGTCTTCATCACTGTCTTAATCATCATAATCATCATCATCATCATCATCATCATCGTCACTTTTGCCAATCAATAACACACCTCATCATCATCACCTTCACCTTCACCATAACCAGCAATCATCATCATCATCATCATCATCATCATCATCATCATCATCATCATCATCAATATCATCATCATCACCATCATCATCATCATCATCATAATCACCACCACCACCACCACCACCACCACCATCATCATCATCATCATCATAATTATCATACTCATCATCATCATCAATATCATCATCATCACCATCATCATCATCACCATCATCATCATCATCAACATCATAATCACCACCACCACCACCACCACCACCATCATCATCATCATCATCATCATACTCATCATCATCGTCATCATCATCATCATCATCATCATCATCACTTTCCCCAATCAACATCTCACCTGCTTTTCCTCTCAGTCAATATGGCTATGCAGCAAGCAGGGAAGGAGGACAGGAAACCAAACCCAGTATAGAATCCACCACATATATGTCTGAAGAAGAAAAAAAGGAGAGAAAAACAAAAAGATATATCAGAAACTACATTCAATGATAAAATGAAATTTATAGAATAAAAGTAGGGCCTACATGTACAAGTATATATTTTCAGAATAACTAGTATGCTGAATGCTGATATAAGAGGAATAATTCTCTTTAGCACATGTGGAAACACTGTCTCTCAAATCTCAATTCTTGTATCTCCTAACAATCAATATCAATAAAATAATAACTGTCATAGAGATATACTTTGGAGTCATAACGATTTTGGAACCCTCGCTCTCTAAATTTTCAAAATTAATTTTGGAGTGGGCTCCCTGTCTTTCCATAATAATGATAATAATAATAATGCGTTTTTGTAAAGCGCTCATGTCTGTCAGACTTGACACTCCTGGTGCTCCCAATTATTACCCTGGCTTTAGCCCGACTGCCATTATAGCATTTCAAGGAATTAATTCCAGACAGGTACCCATTTACCTTTCCTGGGTGGAGGGTGGCAAACGTAGACTAATGTCTCGCCAAGGTAGTAACCAAATTTTCTGTTACGATTGATGTATTAGTAGTTTGGGTATTTGATAATAAAGTCAGGTATTGTAAACCAGTACCTCAAAGGAAAGTGTAATACGACCTTAGGAGACAATACTTTTCACACATTTACACACAAGAACAATGAAATATTAAGTGTTGTCTAAAGATGGAGTTGATAAACTATATTTTATAAGTAAAGTCAACATGGCTGTTTTCTTTTATCTCTTCTTTTCTCAAGTACAACCAAAGGCATGAATCTTTGTGATTTATCAAAAACTAAGAGTGTGCAGGAAATGTAAATGAGTTAAGCAGTGATGGTTGTTTTTTTGTAGGTTATCAATATATTTTTTCAATATAACCCCAATGAGCACTGTTAGCTTACACATTCAAAACAAGGTTAAGGTGCTAGAAATATGTTGAAGACTTCACAATTAATGGTTCAATTCAACGAATACGAAAGGGTTACCTACTCTAAATGAATGAATTCTCTAAAAATGACAGGACCCTTTTAATCAAACCCCATTTTATTTTTTAACTGAAATTTCCATGGTTATGAACAGTACCTATAAACACAAATAAAGTTCATGAAGAGGGCAGCATTGGTGGACAAAAAAGCGGTAGACTGCAAGATTTCCACGGGCAGACCCTTTTGAAAATACGGCCAACTTCGTTTTCGAACTAAGGCTGATATCTGTATGGAATGATACACACACCAAACAAAAAGACAAAAAGTTTTTCAAAGGAAAGAAAATAGAAATGAATTCACGCATTAGGGGAAAACCCCAGAGAAGAATATCAGAAAGCTATCATGAAGTGCTCTACTGAAATTGCTACTGAATCGATTTTGTAAACTATTGATTTCACAAGCTGATAGTTTGAACCAACATTGAATATGAAACTAAGCAAAACATGTGACTAATTTCTATAAGCTTGGTTGCATGTTGCATGCTGATTTTTTTCATGTTTTTAATACATCCACATTTTGGTGGTAAACCGTAATGTACATTTCAAGCAGAACATAATAGCATACTTATATTCCAATTTATCCAACATAATTCTGGCTTGCACTAAAAACTTTGAAGAGGTACGTATTCAACTTCAGTTTCAGTCGAACCATGATCTTTTTTTATATAATTTGAGCGGTAAATTTATTTCACAATTCACACTGGTTAGATGGAGAAAAGATAATCTGTATTCTGTACAAAAACGAGCCCTTCAACCGATGAAAAAAAGCAAGCCCAAATTAACATTTTTTTCCTATACAGAAGGAAAGTTAAGCTCAAGCTGAGGATTATAATAGGACAAGCCAGAATTTGTTATTTTGTGAACAAGAAGGCAGCAGATAGCCAATATATTACACCTTGTTCAACAATGTATAGTAATATTCTCCCAGCCTATAAGCCAGATTAAAAACTTAAAAACATTTGCCTAAACTGCCTACAGGTAGCTCTACACATACTGCCGTTATTTCACTTTTGAAACTTCTTTTTTTCTTTCTTCAATTTTCTTAAATTACCGTTGAACAGAACATGTATATATTGAGAATGTGCTGCCTTATAATTGCCTGTATACAACTCAAGTTCACATGCATTTGAAGAGATACCTAAATACACAGAATGCAGCTATAACTAGTGTGACATTGCTACTAAGAAAGGATGTCGACTGGAGCACATCACCGAGGTAGGATAGTACTCGTGACCATGACAACCTCTGTTTCTTCCTCAGTCGTCCATATGTGTGTGAGATCTGTAGAAAAGGGAACGAAGGAGGCATGGCATGGACAACCAAAAGCTTGTACATGTAAATAACTTTGTTAAGATTTCAAAGTTTTCATTAGTGGAGTCCGAAGAGAAAACATGCTTACATTAGCTTTTCAGACACCAAGAACTGTACATAATTTCATGTTTCAAATTTGAGGCAGTTACTAGGAGCGGAACCCCAGAAAAAACACATTCAACAAGGCACAAGCCGATTATTCTGTCCTCTGTGCACATTCTAGTAATTTGTTTTCTTGTTCAATAATCTGTCTGATCTTAATAAGGGTTCATATAAAAAATTAAAAAAATAATTAAAAATAATAATAATCATTCATAAGTATAAAAACATCCACCAATATGTTGCTTATATAAACCTTTTCCACCAAAGTCTGGAATACATTATCCAGAATTAAACCCAAAATTTATCTGTTTAATAAAATATTATTTTCAGGTGCCGGTAATTGTAATCTTTTTTTAAAGAGATTGAATATAAAGACTAAGAACAAGAAGAAATCTAAAAGAAAAGTAATGATGTTTTCTATCTATACACCTACATACTTTTGTAAAGGAAATCACTGAATAACTTTATTTCTATGAAATTTTAATAAGTTTTAAAATAAGAATAACAATAAAACTAAATAATTGTTCTCATCTTTTTAGGATAAAATAATTTGATTGCCTGGTTCAACCAAACTTAAATGTACAAACTTGCATCAAGGTATAAAAAAAAGGTGAGAAATAAAAATTATACAAAATATATGTAGAATTAATGAACTAGACCCTCTATACCTCCATTTAATTCACTCAACAATTATCGTGAGTGATATTTTGAGATGTATCTCCATCACTAAAAATTCAAAATCGATACATACCAAATAGAAGATTGCATGCATCCTTAGGGAATATTTTGCTACTGCATTGACGATAGAAACAGTAGCTCCAAAACATGTCGGAGACCAACAATGTAGAAATTCATAACAGGTACACTGCCGCCAAAATTTACTCATTACTGCCATTTTGGCTTAGGATTCAGGTTCTAATTGAATTCTAGAAATCTTGACAGACCTGGACCTAAGATTTAAGTAACTTTAAAAACAAGTCAGCCAAAGGCAATGAATTGCAAATTATAAAATTGCCCATACGGCAATGCAGCCCAATGAGATAAAATAGACATTATTTCTGCTGAGATCAACAAATGGTCAAGAATGTGACAATGTAATTTTAATTAGAGCAACATTCAATTACATATCTCTTTGGGGATTGCTGGCCATGGACTGTGACCAAGCCCAGCTGACCACGCCCAGACCCAAGGCCAAACCAACACGTACATGTGTGTCCCACGCATGCCAGGGCCAGCGAACGCTAGGAGAAACCTACCCGGCCTCACCAGGCACGTTTCTGCGACATGATAGGGTCTCCGCCCCCAGTAAGTAAACAAAGTCTGAAATATTCAAAAGCTTACCACAAACCATCATACTCACTAAGTAGAATGCAGCATATAACTTGAAAGAATACTTCACTGATGCATTAGCTATGGATAACGTAGATGCCAAGCAAGAAGGAGTCCAAACATGCCCAAGCTCATAGCAGGTCGCTCTCTCCCAGAGTTTACTGGAGGCTGCCATCTTGATAAGATAATAACGTTTGAGAAATGTGGCAAGAGAGGGCGTTTCAGTTTGAGAGATCGAGATCACAGCGATGTTCAGATAATATATAGATAGGAGAGTATATTTCTAGTAATATACACCGATGATGTGTAATCTCTTTGCTAGTTTACACGAGCAAATGCTACTCAATCGAATCACGGCCTGAAAAAAGGGGAGGGGGGGGGAGAGGAGAAGGTGATTTAAAAGAGGGACAAGACTGAATCTGGTCTGAGTCTTGTACTACATGATCCTCGAAAATAAGAATGTTATCGTTGAAAAGAGAGTATTGCATTTAGAACATCACTTTGCATTCGTAGTGAGGGACTATGCTCAATGCCCCCTTTGGGTCGCTTCCTAGAGACTGGTTTTAAAGGTTTCTACTGAGTTGCAGGCAGTTGTAGTCAACGGTTGCCATTTTAGTTCACTCTCCAGACGGTCTGATATACATGAACCTCTGTTCCATATTTGCCGGTGAAAAATCTTGCCCGCCTGTTCAGTACTCCCTCTTGAACCCCCCCCCCCCCCCCCCCACCCCCCATCCTAAAGGCCTCTCCCCTTCACTCGATCTTGATTGGTTTGTTTCCTTATATTTCATCCACCTAGAAAGACCGCCCCCCCCCCCTTCACTGAATGGCAACACCCAAAGGCACGCCACTGGTTCTCCTTGCAACGACTGCAACCAGGGGCAAGTTCAAAGTCTCTGAGCTGCACAAGTCCATCCCCACCCAATACCGTCATAGCCCAGAGCTATATGCTCATCCACATTATAGTCTCTCTTGTCTGAGATCCCGATGCACAGAGTCTGATTTATAGATGGCAGGAGTATGGCTCAGAAAGAAAAAAAAGGAGAACCAGTGATGAAAGATTGGATGTAGAAGGAATCGAGATTGGATACATGAGGAATTCTTCTTGGTTGAAGCGAAGGGATAAGGTATCGTGTTCATATTTTCTCCACTTCATTATACATTAGGTTGAAATACATTTTTTTTTTTCTCTTTAACCTAGGTTGAAATACATGACCACTGTTTTATCTGTCTTTTCTTTCTGTATTATATATTAAATCAACAACAACAAATCTGATTTTTAAATTCTGTCTTCTAAATGCTCGGTTTATTTTGCTAGTTTATCATTTGTGCACAGCACGTCCATTTTATATTTATGCCTTTCTCTTTCATTCACCGCGGCATTTTTTTAACATTGCAGTCTTCTCTTCTTTGCTTTCATTAATCCTTTTCATGCATAAAACTTCACTTTTTTTTCTTTTCTGAACTCATCGGATATCTTCCTCCTTCTGCCTCGCTCTCCTCCGATACTTTCTCCTCACCTTGATCTCTTACTCTCTCTCTTTCCGTCTTATCTAATCACATTATCTAGCCCTATATTTCCTCCTCTTATTCCTCCTCTAACTCTGATCGTGTTACTATCTTCCTCCCTTCCTCTTCTCCCTATTTCTCCCCTATTTCCAATCCCACCCCACCCCTCCATTCTTTCTCCCAGTAAAACATAACCCATTATACATACACATGCATCTTTTATCTACTTCTCCTCATTCCGTTGTCTATTTCAAAATGTCTCCTTCTTCCCTTCATCTTTTCATCTCACCCTTCCTCCCCAATTCTTTTTATAATCTCCTCTCTTTTTAATTGTCTGCTTAAAGTGCCCGTTAAAGTGCTGCGAGTGTCGTCTCAAATTATAAGCGCAAAGTAAATTAAGCAATGAAGACCCATTATGGACCCATTCTTCTCGCAGTCATCTTCCATGAAAATTACCCAAAGGTCACAGCTAGCTTGTCGAGTGTTCCGTCTTGAAGACACTGGCGTAGCACCGGAGGGGCAAGGGGCACGTGCCCCAAATTGAATAGCACGAACAAGTCAATGGATGAAGGATGGGGAGGGGTAAAAATAGAACGAACAGTAGATAAAGATGACTCGATAAATCGCTGCTCTGTCGACGATCTATAGTCAGACCAACGTTCCCCCCCCCCCCCTCACCACCACCACCACCACCCCTCCTCCACCGCCTCGAATGGAACCCTGGTACGTCTGTCTAACGATGAAGTGTGCCTAAGATTATCCGGGGCTTGAGGTGAACATCTCCACGAATCGAGAGCTCATTTCCTGCCTGAAAATAGAATAAAAGAAGATGAAGACCGGGAAGAAAGAGGTGATAGGAAAAAATAATAAATGGTGAACATGATCCTGAAGCTCTGCCTGTAGTGCAGACACGAGAGTCATCGTCTTCTTTTGAGGACGCTCTTTAATAATAATCGGCTGCTCTGAAATTGCATTGCTTGTGCAATAAATCAACAAAGTGTCCGTGGTGAATACATCAAAAGTTTTTTTTTTAAATGCTCCTTAAAATAATCATGAACTATTCCGAGGAGTAAAAGAGGGTAGTTTTATGATGTTCATATTTTAGTAAGAACCAGGCCTATAACTTTAAAAAGATTAAAGTCATGTTTCAGGTATCTCAATTTAAGGGAATTGGAGATTCAGATACTTCCAATAGACTAATAACAAAAGTTCCCTCACTTTTCAAAGTGCCTTTTATACCAGATTATTTTTCCTTCCTTTTTTATAATCTGGAGAAAATAACTTTTTAAAAGTCAGCTTGTTGAAATCGCATATTTAGGCATGACACACACAAGCACGTAAAACGACTAAAGGTAAATGTGAATTTGTAAATATTTTTGCCGAAATAAAATTATATTCAATGTTGTTGAAAACTAAACTCTAAAAGCTGCTACGCACTCTGTTCAGCCTTTTATTAATTTCTTCCATGCAGTTTTTCATTCATAGTGCTTAGTTCTTTAAACTCGTGCGTTCACGATCCGACCCACATGAATACACCCGAAATATCTAGGCTACCCTCGGGCTCTCTCTCCCTCATGTCTTTTGTCAGCTATATGGAGTGAAAAATAAGCCAGAATTGTAATAAAACGCATCCAGAACTATTTATGTCTGGTCTATACCGACGATAATAGCCCGTATGTGGGACGAAAAGAAAAGGCAGTGGAAAGCGAGGAGGAGCTCTCATCAGCATTCGGTGGGAATTCGTTTGATGTTTGATAGTTCAACAAAAGCGACTGACAGTCGTTATTGTGTAATTCATATTCCGAGGTTCATATTAGTGAACTGTGGACGATTGTAAATATAATATTCTCGTGGTGGTGGTCGTCGTGTTTTAGTCACAAATACAATCGCGACAAGCTGGATAATTAGGTCAAACAGTAATCGGAAAGGTTATAAGTTATATTTTTCATTTATCGACTGTGCATAGGGCTGTTCTTTATACTGGATATAGCAGTTTCAAAAGAGTGCGTATTAAATTGGATTTGACCCAACCGGCATAGCAGCGAGAGGTCTCTGACGTTGATCAGATTTTGTTATACATGTACTTCTGAATTGATGTACGGTGTAGCCCACAATGGTGGCGTTAAAGAGGTGGGGGGGGGGGGGGGGAGGGGGCAGGAGGAGATCGCCCTCTGTGTTGGCACGCATCGCTTTAGCAACATGTAAAAACTCTTCCCCTTAAAGATAAACTTTAGTACTGGTAATGCGATTGCATTGTGAAAGAAAAGGTGTGGAAAGGATCAGAAACAGTTGATCATGTAGCATGTAAGTATTGGTGTGCACTGCAAGGTTCTGGAGTCATCAAAATCATAATAAATTTGACCGAGTCTTGGTAAAGTAACAAGCACTCACATAGAAAGCTATATATGGGACAACACACATGGTGTCGGGGCTGGTACTACCTTGATTTCCTTGTCTTTCTATGCTCATTACTCAGCCAGTATACATTTTCTTCCAAAATTGTTTGGCACATGTCATTTATTTGTAATCTTGAACATTCAGTGTAAGTTTCGTTTAATTCTGTGAGAATTATTTATTTATTTTTACCAGTACTGGAGTTTATCTTTAATGATTGGAAATAATACAGCATATATTTATTCAGATGAATTGTTTATACATTTTATTCGCATAGGCCTATATTCGTTGAATGTATCCAGATCAGTGTCAAGGTGTTACCATATCATTTTACCTTGGTATCAGAAAAGGGAATGTTTCCTAATCTTGATGCGCTTATAACAAAAGATACATACTTTGTCCTGAATACATGAAATAAATATTGATTGAATCAAATTTTAATTTCAGATCTTTTCTTTAAACTAAGGGATCTTTTTGCAGCTTTAAAAAAAATCAAAATGCGTTTAGGTACTTGCTAGTATCTGTCTTTATCAAGTGAAATATATGTGGCTGGATTTTTTTTTTTTACAAATTAAAATTAGTTTGGCAGCATGTTTACCCCTCTGCTTATGTTTCGTCACCTCCCGGCGTTGTCCGTGCTGTTTACATTTGTTCGTCTGATATTTATTCGTTACATGTGTCATTCACATTGACTTATTCAATAATTGATTAATTCCCACGGAAGCTGTTGATGGGAGCGTTGTTTACGATGTTTACATGTTCGTTTCGTCACCTTTCTAGCTTCCACTGGCGGAGGCATCCCGAGAATGCTCGCTTTTTATTCTCGTCATCGGACGTCGTCACTTGCGTCTCATCAGCGATGAATCGGATCTGATTTATGAGTAACATGTTCACTCGAATCACGCCTGCTTGTCTCCATATGTGTTTCGAGATGGGATGAATACACTTTTTAGGGACCATAATGAGGGTTAGGGGCCGTGACGAAGCTACGGGGGGGGGGAGCATGGGGAATATGCCCTCTAATTGAATCGGGGGAAAGGGGGTGGAGAGGGGAAAGTGGAAGTCAAAATTAGATGATACTACTTCTCCTATATACACAATCCCCTAAGCAATGGCCTCGTTAATATGCGCTTCATCCAACGAGTGAGACCGGTCCCCCCCCCCCCCCCCCCGATAAAAGCAGTCCCCCGCCCCTCAATGTCTCGAACTGCACTACGCCACTGATTATGGATTGTAGCCTACTGTTTATTGGGCGTGGATGCTATAGATAGACAATGAA